AATAGGGCTTGGGAGCAGCTGAATCTCTTGCTGAGGTCTTGAACTGTGGGTCTTGAACACAGCCGAGTCCTTCCACCTAAGCTGCAAACTTGGCAGCTACAGTAAGCTCCAGCAGCTTTTCTGAGTAAAGGTGGAAAGGCAGATTATCATTTGTACTGCCTGGATTATGCAGTTTGCCTACTCCTTCCCACCTCTTATTACCTCTTTAGACTTCAATCTTTACTGCTAAAGACCAAATGTTTCTGCATAAACATTAAACAAAGGAAAAACACAATTATAACTCAGTCTAGGATGAATCCTGAAGTACTTGGTAGAGAGGGAGGGGGTGAACAATGCTGCTACTAATTTCTAACTTTTTTTTTAGGGGTTTTTTTATTTTTACTTTTCCCCAACAATTTTTGCAAAACATATTTCAAAATTTGAAAGTAAAAAAAAGCCTTCAAACTGATTAATTTGCTTGTGCTAACAAGCATTTTAATCTAGTTTATTTTTGTCTTAAATCAGAAAAATATATTTTATCAGCAGTAGCAGTGTTGTGTTCATGGAAGGAGATATGTCTACAAAAGAGCAGACACTTATAGTGAATATTTCTTCTTTAGAATATTCTTGCAAATATAGAATCATAGAATAGTTTGGGTTGGAAGGGACCTTCCAAAGTCACCTAGTCCAATCTCTGCAATGTGCAGAGACATCTTCAACTAATCAGGTTATTCAGAGCCTCGTCCAGCCTGGTCTTGAATGTTTCCAGGGGTAGGGCATCCACCACCTCTCTGGGCAACCTATGCCAGCGTTCCACCACTCTTATTGTAAACAATTTCTAGTCTAAACCTACCCTCTTTCAGTTCAAAGCCATTCTGCTGTTGCCTAAAGAAAATTCAGGGAGAAAAAAAACTCCTAGACAATTTAGTTTTGAAGGTGAAATAAGGAAAGGGTTTAATTTGTGCCTAGGCATAGGTTACAAGACGTGCACCCCTGCTCTGTTACAGATGTTACAATTTATAATACTGCTTGCCCAATTAGAGATTTTTCCACCCCCTGGCTTTTGCCCTGGACCACCCTTGGGAATTGGGGTTGAGGTCTCTGAGACCCTCTCTTCATCAATCTTCATCTTCTTCAGAGCACAAATGGGACTCGTTCACCCAGTTTTTGACTGTACTCTTGCGGTTCAAGCCAGGATTAGATGTCCTCAAACCGAAGAGGCCTATCTTAAAGAGAGACTAAACATTTCTACTGGAATTCAGGGGATGTTGATATGGGGAATTGGGGTAAAAGGGTTGGAGAATGTGTGTAGCTTCTATGCTAAGAGTAAGGGAATAAGTGCTGCTGCTTCTAAAACTACTTCTACTATATAACTACTTATAAAGCTTATAAAAATTAGAAAAATCAAAAAACCGGATGGACCTTAGGGCATCACTGCCTTGGCCTATCACTACACACACTTATAAAAAGTCCCTCTCCAGTTCTCTTGGAGGACCCCTTTAAGCACTGGAAGGCCGCAATGACTCTCCCTGGAGCATTCTCTTCTCTAGGCTGAACAACCCCAACTCTCTCAGACTTTGTCTGTAAGAGAGGTGCTCCAGCCCTCTGATCATTTTTGTGGCCTTCCTCTGTACCCACACCATATCAACAAGCGTGATGCATTTCCTTACCCTGACTACCTTTCTGGTATTTGAAATAGTCTGTGATACTTGGAATAGGAGAGCAAATCAAATCACTGCAGCTGTGTTCAAGCCTAGACATTCGATATAGACATGTGGGGGAAAAGTGGAGAATGAGTTGTATAAATAGAAAGTTACAACATGATTTGTTGCTTTCCACCTGCCTTTCAAAGATCAACGTTTTGTTGCTTTTCCTAGTTATTTCTGGGTTTGTGTAATTCTTTAATATTATGCAAATATGACTCCCTTTATCATTGAAGGACATCATATATCAGGAAACATAAAGAACTAAACAAATGCCTTGTTACTTGCATTCTTAAGCTACAGAAACCTCTCCAGTGTCAGGGACACCATCAGAAACACATAGAAGGACAAAGACATCTGGAAGCTGATGGCTTTCAGATATTTATTCTTGCAATTCTTATGTTGCAATAGCATCTAGAATGGTTCTGCAGGTGGGCACCTCACCAGAGGATAATTACTCCTCACTCCGTGGCTTTGGGTGAAAGGTGTGGACTTAATTGCAATCTGAAAAGGAAAGCTGCATGGTACCCACTTAAGCACCACTTTTCACCGTGGGTATCATAAGAAACACAAAGTCATCAACTGTTGATATCCAGCAGGAAGGAGATCTCTGTGCATTCCTCTCTCACTGATGTTCCCAAAAGAATCAAATAGGTTCATATAGAACTAAACAAAAGCAAAGCAAGTAATCTCTTCCAAATGTGATACTCAACAACACAGTCCTTGAAACATCCCAAAACAGTGATCAACTACAAGGGTATTGGTTCTTTCCAACTTCACTAACAGATTATGTCATTCTCTCCCTCCCTCCACCTTTAGACCCCTTGCTCCCCAACATTAACATTTTTTTCATGGTTTCAAACTACTTTTGATGCCAAAAATCTAGCCCATACCTCTGACATCAAACATATTTGCTGACTATAACACACAGTGGGTGACATAAGAAGACTGTTAGGTATGAAGTTAGCTTGGGGATATTGCATACCCTGCTGATTATCAAGAACAATTTCCAAGGGGAGAAGGGCAGGGGGAGAAAGAAAAAAAAAAAGCTTTAAAAGCTGTCTGCCCCTCTGATTTTCAGCTCTTTGAAAAAGTAAGAAAGAACAGAAAAGCACCCCTGGTGTGTGGTTAAGATAACTACAAAGGAACTATTCTTAGCAGGTTCCTTCAGTAAAATGAAGGGTGCTTTTATTGCATTTTTTGGCCTTGCTAATCTGACAGATATTGATGGATAATTTGGAACAGCCAAAATCTTTGTTCTAAAAAACATTGATTCATACATGTTACATCTAGATGTTTTACTGGTTTCTTAGTAGATATCAAAGTTTCCTTTAAACACTTGTAAGTTGCACTTTATACATTTAAGAGTGTATGCATGCATGGGAGGGAAATTATAGAGAGAAGTTCCACTAAGAACAGCTTAAAAAAGAATTTTTATGCCCTTCAACGCACTAAATACAACCACTCCCAGCACTTTGTTTCTGCCTAATCAAGTTTGAAAATTAACAGAACCAAGATTCTTAATGAGCAATTAGGGCCTTGCAGGCTGGTCTCTCCAAAAGGTACAGGAGCTTGTGTGTAAACACTCCAGCACTGACTTCCCCACCACCGACTTCCCCACCACCCCCTGCCTCACAGACAGGGCAGCAGCAGCAACCACCCAGCCTGCTGGAGCCAGCCGGCCCCACCTGGCTGCCCAGGCAGGGACATCCCTGTGATTTCTGACAGTTGGCCCTTCATCTCTTCCATAGGTAAAGGGGTCCAGTGTCCCACCTCCACTGGGATTTAAGAAAGGAAGAATACTTTCATCTGAGAGCATGTGGGAAAGGCACCCCCACACACCAGAGGCTGCTTTTTTTAGTAAATCATGATTAAAAGCAGCAAAGCACACGTGGGCTCTCAGCAGTGCTCTTCTCCCTGACAGTGCCCCAGCCACTACCACCAGAGAGCAGCTGAACAGGCGCATGACTCTGAAAATAAAGAGCCAATTCCATGCGGGAAATAAAGACATGCAGACAAATCAGACACAGAAGAGCAAGAACAGAGGCAGCAGGTTGCAGCAGGGGTTAGGGAAAAGCACTGTGGCACAACTTGCAGAATTTCTAAGTCATTTGGTGTTGTTGCCCAAGCCTGATTCTCACTGGCTCCTAAGGGATGAAGTTTTATATACTGGCTATTCTGCTTTGCAGCCACTATGGGATAAACTCAGTAAAGACTGTATTCATCCCTTTATAAGGTAAACAGACCATGAGTAAATACACCATTCTTCCCAAGATGAGCAATATTCTTCAAGTTGTGTTTTAGTAGAGAATCCTCCTAGTAGAAAACCAAACAAGCAGACAAATCACAATGCATATGCAACGTGACAAGTATCAAGCATAGACAAAATTTCTGATCTGTCAGGAAGGAGTCAGAGCTGCTGCCAAAGCATTGCTTTTCCTTCCTCAGCATGTCAGTGGAATCAGTTGGTCACTGACAGAGGTATTGCAGCAGCAAAAAGGATCTCCTGGGCAAGCAGAATCAGGCCATGTCTCTGTGCCTGTTTGCAATAGTATAAAGAGTTTGTTAAGTATTAAAGTCAGGAAATTTCCGAAGTCAGTTTTAGACACTTCACTGGTGAGAAAGCTACTCAGCCATAATGCTGACTGCTGTTCTATTTTAGACTAGTGTAGTCTGAAAACAAAAAACCCAAGGCGTTAGCATCACTAGTGCCAGCCTTAACATAGCTGGTAGTGCCCCAAAGTGTACCTGATGGCTACTTAACAAGGGTAAAAGGACTCCCATCCTCATGCTTAGCACAAAGTCAGCCACAGGAACACAGGAGCTGGGATCTCAACACGCAAAAGAGTCCATACTGCAATTCGAATTCCCTTTTCAGTCTCAGAGATGTTACATAAAACATAATCATGCAGTTTCACAGGACTTATTTTTACTCCATTGCTTTTGAAATCCAAACGCAGAAGCACAAGCCTCTGTCCCAAACCATGGATGCCAATTCCTCAACAGTTACATGCTATGCTGAAGGTGAGCTAGTAAACATCTACTCCTAGCACCCATTGTCAGCAGCCACCCAGAGAAAACAGCCTCTCCTCCCATGGCTGGGCTCACACAGGTGGGAATGCAAGATCCAGGTGCGTTTTCATTAACCCTGTGAAGTGCAGCACAGGAACAGAGGTTCCCCTGGGCTGCCTCACCAGCAGAGCTGAAATCCTCTGGAATTGTTCAGAGAAGTTTCAATCATTCACATAAAGGCAAAGACAACAGCTGTGCTCTTAAAGATGAATTCCAAAAAAACCAAAACCAACTATTAGAAAAATGTACTCTTTAAAAGACCTTTATTTTGGTTGCACAGTTACAATTCTAAAGTCCATTTATGCTTACAGTTAGATTGTTCCCAAATAATATTTCATAGCTCATCATGTAAACAGTGCATTTTCTATCAGTCTGGTGTATAAGAACGTTATAAAATACAGATGAAATTACTTTTTCATCTATACACTTTCAGATTAGTTCACCAAGATCAATTAAAAAGGCAAATAGATTAATTGGCAAAAAAGTGTTGTTATATTTTTAATATATTAGTATAAAATGGCACAAAAGGAAGAAGGTCATTTTAAAGGCCAAAAGCATCAAATGCCTTAAATAGTTTCAATCAGTTCAACCGATTTTAACTTAATTTCAAATTCCAGTGTTGAACTTGGAATTGAAATTGTAATCTCCTTTTCTTCAGCTGTATAAAAGACCTTACATACAAGGTTGGATCTGTTCATGGAAACTAAATCACAGCAGTTTCAGAACAGTGACATTCAAGTGCAGCTAGGAAGTTGGGAGTTTCTATTTTTCCCAGTAACTCTAAAAATTCACAGACTAGATCTTATTTTCATTTAGCCAAACTCATTGATCCACACTTCAGATGCAAAGATACCATATGTATGCACATAAAACACAGTATTTCTTAATGCAAGAACTGAAACAAAAAATTGACATAATTACACCATCCACCCTACCTACCTTTGCAGGAGGCTTCAGACATAACCATATCCGATGCCAGATACAGAGAATAAGAGCATCTAAAATATTTCAAGAAAACTTAGAAGGCTTAATTCACAGGCTTCAAGTATAAAAGAGAGATCACACCAACTTCAGCAACCTAAGTTTTATTTTCGAACCACCCATATCAAATGGGCAGGTGAGTTGGATGGAAGGGAAACAGACAAGAAATACATTTCTAACTTAAAAATAAATTCTGAGATGTGAATTTGTTGCCTCAAGCAACAATTCAGGAGTTTGTTTTGGCAGCAACATTTAGCAATATCCCAAGAGATAATTACCCACTCTGTCAAAACAAATTATCATGACTTTGATTAGCTCCCTAAACCTTGAGAGGTTTTTATGTTTAAGTTAACGAAACAGTTTATGACCTTGACTGCTTTTTTCTTGTAAGACAGCACCCACATCCAAGAGGGCAGGCAGTTATACTGATGGTAGTACTGAGAACATTATTTCTCAGGTTAAAACAATAAGTCTTATAAAAAAAAAGTGAGATGAAGTACAGAATTACTATTTTACTCAGCTTCACAATGAGCAAACCATGACTAGAAATTTCCTTTCCTAATTTAAATACCAATTACAAAGCTTTCTCCAGGGACTTATTTGTTAGTTAACCATATGATGAGTCCAAGAAGCAATAATCCAACAACAAGTATAACAATGAGTATGCACATCTTCTTTCGGGATCTTTGCTGCCAAGAGAGAAAAAAACAAGTTGATTGAAAACTGTACCACCACAACAGAGGACTACTCAGATGCTTTTATGGTCCTACTGCTTGTGCAATCTAACCAAATCGTGTCCTTACTAACAAGTCATATAAAGATGTTCAAGAAAAAAAAAAAGCAAAGTTATCCACATTATTATTCAATGGAAAGATTTTAGTGGTATTTTCTGGCATACCTAATAAACTAATGACAGAGAATGCAGTAATGTAATGAATTAATGTAATTACAACACTTGGGGAAGTAAATGTGAGAGTGCAGATGACAGCTTATAGAGGAAAATGGACAATCAGTCTGCACAGTAGAGGAGATAGAAATGGTCTGCTAGGAAAAAAACATTTGAAGACTATTAATGGATATACAGAAAGGCAAAACAGACTACAATTTTAGACTTCTGTACATCCATTCACAGAGTTATTTTAAAGCTGTTTTTGTCAACTTTCTTAGGTACGACTTGCTCTTAAAGAAAACAAAAAACAACAACAACAAAAAAAACCCAAACCAAACAAAAAAAGACCTGACTAGAGACCCAGATATACAGACATTACTACAGTAAAGCGTAAATTATAAGCATGTTCAGAACTTCTGCATTTCCCATACAGATCTGTAACTTGAGATACCAGAGCACTTAAGACTAGAAGCCGTCAGCCATCCTTTATCTGAAAGATATGGAATCAGAAGGTTTCCTTCACAGGAGGAAAGAAAATTAGCAATGTGTTTCTCAGGCTTTTGCTGAGAGCCAAGGAATAATAACACTCAAATCTTGGGATTCTAAGCCACAGCCCCAGAAGAAAAGCCAGGCTGTGTTCTACTTGGCGGAAGTTCTTCTGCCTGGGTGGTTTTGCTGTGTTTTTTTCTTTCTTTTCCCCTCTGAAGAACAACATCTGTGTCAGTTCTTCATTGGAGCTGTCAGTTCTCTGCCGAGTACCACCCAGACTAACAAGTTTCCTAACAATTCTCCCCTCCTAGTTTTACTGTCTCATTGCCACTTCTCACACTGTCGGCTAATATTTCATTTCATCATTTTACTTGCTAGAACTTAATCTGTTTGCTAGCATATCTTCCTTTTTTAGACCCTGCTGCCAGTTCTCTCTTTGCACACAAGTCTCTTCCTTCTGCATCCCGCAGACCACCTCTTGACAGCAATGCATTCAAGTCAAACATTTCCATTGTAATACTACTTAAGCAAGGGAGTAGACTAAAGACACAACAATCTTATTTTCTCATACAATTCATCATCATTTATACAAGTGCCGAAGCAGCACTGGGAAAGGGGGAAAGAAAGGAGAGAAGCCTGGCTTTGCCCAAACTGCTCTGCTGTGTGAATGCACCCCACACAGCAGATGAGTGATGCAGACCTCATCCAACCACAAACAAGATGCTGTGAGGGTACCAACAGCCCTGTCCCTACCAGCACACCCAGGCCTTTAACACTTCTTGAGCAGGTCAGACCATACAGATATAATAGCTGGTGAAATTAAAATAAGTTTGCTGAAAGTGGAAATGATTTTTCAGTGCCTTAGAACAAGGATGAGTGCAAGCAAAGGGAAGTTCAAATCCAAAGCAAACTACACAATCCTTTCAAACAAACACAGGACAACTCTGCACAGTGTTTGGTCTCTGCTGCAAGACCCACTGAACAGAAGCATGTCAAAAGTATTGATAACTTTCCTTTGAGATCAGAAGATATTCATCCCTTCCTCCTCAAAATAAAACATGGAAGTTTTTAATTTTAAATTTCAACTAGAAAACTAAAACCTTCCATCGAAAATTTTGGCTGCTACTAATTTTTTTCCCCTGAACTTTGTCATTATCAAAATAGGAGCCATCAACTATAGTTAATGTGTCAATTAGTGCCACCCATAATACAGTTCAAGGATGCACCCTCTCCCACTTCTGAAATCAGTAAGCAATGCTTCAGACATTCCATCATTCATTTACTGTCCTGGTTACTACTAACACACATAAGGGGATTTAAAAAAAAAAAAATCTAAGGACTAACTCTAACTTAAAAGAGTAGATTAATCACTAATAAGATTATTTCTAATAAGTTCCAAAAATGTTAAAGTGGCATTCAAAGGTACTTAAAAGGTTTTTCAAAAAAGTTTGACAGTTTCAAATATGAACTTTGAGAATATTGTAGACAGTAAAAATTGGTGCTAATTGACAATGTCTTCAGAAGACTTTCCTGCCTATCTTCCCTACTCCTCCAGTGATCTTTAGAGGCTTGCTCTCCATTTAAAGCAACCTTTTACTTCTATAAATAAGGGGTTGGTTTGTTTGCAATTTTTTGTTGGTTTGGAAGTTTTTGTATGGTTGGTTTTAAACAAAGATGTAACTCCACGTGTTCTCATAGAATCATGGAAGGCTCTGCAACAGCCTATCTGGAAACAGCCTTACAGGAAACCCAAAGCTTTCAGAGGTCACTGATTTTTGTTTTATAGTGACCTAGAAACACCATGGTAGTCTAACATAAACCTATAACTAAGTCTTCAAGCCTTGAGGAACTTGCTATGCAAAATCTAAAAAGTGGAAGTCAGGACTACTGAGAAAGGACAATTACACGCAACTGGCAGTAGGCACTGGCATTACCTGGTAGTTTGCTGCTCTTGCCAGCTGCTGGTTTGCTTGCTGCACGTGTACATCTGCATTTTCCACGTTGGCTTCTATGCTGTCTTTATTTTAAAAGGAAAGATTTCAAATTTTTCTTAATCATAACTTGGAAAAAGGTTTGGCATGCTGAAATACTCTTGAGAGCATATGTAATAGTTGCCCCCAATTGCTGGTGTCTTCATCAATATCCAAAGTTTTATACCTTGTATTATGAAAGCTTGACCCACCCTATACTTATGCCAGAGCTCATTTTAGAAGTGCCCAGGAAATGAGTGGCTGAATTCATGTCGGGTAACAACTCCCCTGTTCTAGATGCAGGACTGAAACTTTGATACTAAACAGTTCAAAAAACTACTTTTAAAGACATTTTATAAACATGAAAAACTACATAATGTTTTAAACTACATTTTAAACACAGTTTATGTATTCCCAGTCACCTCAACCAGTCTACTTATTATTAGGCTGCACTGCATTTGCTTTAGCATTGTTATTCTCATTAGAGGAATTTTTCCAGCAAAAGGAAGTTCTATGTTGCAGCTCTCCAGCGAAACCAAATAAAAATTTTTCAGATAGTATATGAATTGGACTTACCTATCACATCACCTTGTTCATGAATCATCATTCCTAGATCTTTGAAAATTTCATTGATGTCCATAATATCAGCCTGTAAAGAACCAATCATAGCATCAACTGACATCACATATTCAAGCATCTCTGAACATTTAGATATAAATAGTGTTCCTTCTCCTCCTGAGTGCATATCCCTGACTCTTTATACGACAGGATAAAAACCCCCAACTTTATGTACTTATTTGGAAGGGGTTTTTTGGTACTATGAGACCAAGTTTATCATAATCAAGTTAACCATCAAATCAAACTGAGGATAAGCATGTGCACAAAGTACACTTCCCAACACATCACAAACAGGATCTCTCATTGCTGAGGGCTCATCTAGACACATGCTTGTATTATAAGTTTAACTGCAGAGAAAAATTCATGACAACATTGCTTAAAATGTATCTAAGCCAAATTAATAAAAGCCAGTGTAGGACATATTTTGCACTAGTTTTAGCACTAGGGAGGTTCAGATTAGATATCAGAAAATTTTTTTTCACTGTTAGGTGGTCAGGCATTGGAATAGGTAGCCTGAGGAGGTGGTGGAGTTACCAGACCTGGAAGTGTTTAAGAGGCGTCTGGATCTGGCTCTGGGTGATTTGGTTTAGGGGTTACAGTGATAATGCGGGGTTGACGGTTGGACTTGATGATCTTAAAGGTCTCTTCCAACCTTGATGATTCTATTACTTCAAATGCACATTTTACATCTAAAGGCAGTATTTTCAGTTTTGAAGGAAAAAAACCACACCCACAAACAAATCTCCTCAAGATTCACTTCTGCAATTAATGCTCATGCCATGGAAAGATCAAAAGCATATTCTGCTGTAAAACTACTTGTACTTACTTCAAGCTGCCTAATGGAAGATTCCCTCTCCTCGATAAGACGGAGATCATCCTCTGTAATTTCTTCATCTTGCACTTGTGCTTGTGGTTGACTATCAAACAAGAAAAACCTCAAAACTCACACAGAATTGAACAGGCACAATGAGAAATAATAAAATGACAGTTAAGTACATAGCACATTTTACATTACTGGTTAAGAAAATGCATGTTTTTACCTTTGCCTGTTTAGCTAACAGGGACAGCATAACCGTCACACCCTAGGTGTAGGAAGCTGCTGCTGTAGCAAAGCTAGTAGCTAGCTAGAAGATAGCTGACTGGAAATTCCAAGTATGAATACAAGGGCAAAGTTCCTTCTGAATTATAAACTGCAGAGTTGATATCTATCTGAGGCAAAAGCAAGCTACCCAACAAAAAATAATCTGAGACCAAGAAGCAGTTCTTGGAACATATGGAAGCAATGAGACGCCCCAGTAAACACTAGGCCCTTATCACAACAAATTTACTCTATTCACAGGTTGGACTCTTCTTCCCTAAGTTTGGGTCTCAGAAAACCCAAAGGCAGATTAGGGGAGCTTAAGGTGATGGCTACAGCTGAAGCATCAGGAGAACTCTTCCTTTTTTCTTCCCATCTATGCCATCAAAATCTCTTCTCTATGCTAGCATTATAGAAGAAAGCCTAACTGAACAACCTATCCCAAATCCCTCCAGAAAAGGGCAATTGATCAGAAAAAAACCAAAGCAAAACAAAAAAAAACCCCAAGTGAAAACAAAAGAAAAAAACCAATCCAAAAAACCATGGGCTGTCTTCCCTGCAGGTCATTTATTATTCTGAGCTTGGTTAAGGCTTGTGAACTAAGTCAACGTACCTGTCCCAAGACACAAGTGTTCCTTCTTTGTAGCTATCTTCTGGAGCACCACCCTACATGATCAGAGATTAAAAATACAAATATAACATTATGGCCCTGAAAGGAGCACTGTCAGTATTTCTATAACAAGTCAATATTAGAAGGTTTTTAGAAAGTCAATTTCAAACTGAAACATGATTTAACATGCTTGCATTCTGATTTTGCTTTATATATGCACAAAGATGAAATACAAGCAAAAGCATTCAGCTCAGTAACTGCCTGCTAAAATTTGTAAGTACAGTAACAGGTATTTGGCAGAGTGAAGAGGCAAAATTGATATATTAACACAAAAAAGCTCAACATCTGAAGCTCCTCAGCACTTCTTCACTTTAATACTCTACAGAAATCTGGCAAGTCATTCTTCCCCGTAGGAAAAAATCTGTTGATATCTAAAGCTACAGCAAAAGCATTTCCAAATCTACTATAAGTTGTTTTTGCAAGACTACAGCAAGAACATGGAGGCAGTTTGTGACAAAAGCAAGGGAAAAGTAACTGTTCTCTTGGGAGATTACTACAGTTTAATGCGGTCTCTACTATAAAGTCATATAACACATGGTCTGCAGTATTTAGGGTCAGATATGAGCTTTTTTAGGTAGCATTATGGAAGCCAGTTTGACATCAAACACCACTGTAAAGAGTGTAATGGCACATTTTTCTGATACTTACAGACACCCTTGAGCTGGCTCTTACTCTGGCTACAAAGTCTTTTTCTTTCTCAGCAGCTTGCCTTTGGAGTCTTTGGAAATTTGTAAGTGCTGTGGTGAACTCCCCCACAAGACGGTCTTTCTGTATTTTTCTTTGACGCTATAGGAGAAAAAGTTTTACCAAGTCAAATGAGCTCCGGCTTTTCAAGGCTTTGCTATTTCCAGTCTGCTCAATCCTAAGGTATATACTCTTTCTCTTCTAAATAGGTATAAGGGAAGGCTGTCTACAAAACCATTTGCAATTGCATGGACAAACCTTCTTTCCTTCTGGAATAACATAACTGCACAAATTAATGCATTTAAAGAGGAAACTGATGTATTCATTTTCATTTAACAGCTGGAAATGAGAAATGGGCAGGGACAAGAAAGCTTTTATCATCTTTATCATCTGCTGATTACAAAATCTACTGTTACAGTGTAAAATATTTTGATACCAAGAATGCTAAAATATGCAAAGGTAACTGAATAGAGAGGAAAGGTGCAGAAAAGAAAGAACGTATTTTACGTAAATGTTGGAAATACATATTGCGCTGCATCCAGAAGTGGGTTCACATACCCCCTTAAGTACTTTAGAACTGGTACTAAAATACATATTCTAACCTTTCAGGCTCTTTTTTTTTTTTTAAGATGTAGTGAAGAGGAGTACTGAACACTCAGGAAAGCCTCTACCATATTTCCCTAAATATATACAATATATCAACCTTCCTTCCAAATGTCTAAAAGGCTGTAATTTGCCATTCATGAATCTGTTATTTATGCATTTTGTTGAGATGTAGCTTTGATAAAAGGAGTAAAATTAAACAGTAAAATGTTTCATTGCCAACTTTTCAGCTCCAAGATAAGGAAACAGAGAAACCATAAAAAAGACAACAAACTAAATATACTTTGCCTGAACTAGAGTTATGTATTAAGATCAAGTTTTAACATTGCTATTAGAAGTTTACAGCTTGACAGGATGAGCACACATGGATCATGGCCTGCCATTTGAATTCAGTGTTTCAAGATCATTCATTTTCCCAAGGGCTCCTTAATAACCTATACTGGCCAGGCAAGTTGAGTGACAATAACCCAAAACCATGTTTTCTGGGATCCTGTTGTTCTTCTCTTATATAAGTGACAGATTTTGCTAGGACAAGAAACCATAGGATGGCAGACAGGAGTGTGCTAATCACAACAGCCACTTCACATGTTACATCCCAACAAGATTTTACACAGACCTGGGAAAGAAGCGGTTTAAAGACTGCTCAAGTTGTTTTAGTAACAGCTCCTGTCTACTCCTCTTAAGAAAGGAAAAGCCTGTGGACAAGATATAGCACATATGATGATCTGAGTGATGTCGAACAAACACACTGTACATAATGCATTGACCTTGGAAGCAGTCAGAGTGCCAGTGGAGTCAGATTTAGCATCACTGCAATGGATTACAAAGTGTCCAGCTACCTAAAATCACAGGCAGGCACAGTGCACTGCCTTGCTTCCCAACATTTCAGTCAAACTACCTCATTCCTGATACATAAAAACAACTTTGGGACAAGTCTGGACTGCAACAAAATATTCTTATAAGTATCCCCACTGTGCAAATGTGTTGACTAACTAAACAGTGCTTTGAAAAAAGGAAAGAAGAACTGAAGTGACTCAAATACTCTACATGAGGCAACATGATAGTCAAACAAGCCATGCTCTTTGGTTTTATACCTGTTCACTTGTTGCAGCCAAAGATCCAAACTCCTTAATGTATTTGTCAGTTTCTTTGGCAAGTTGGTTGGTGTATTGCTGCTTCTGTTGCCTAAAATCAAATGCAAATTTTCATTAGAGACCATTGGGTTACTTTGCCGAATTTTACTGATTCTCAGAAAAGCAGCAGCACTAAATGCTTCTTTAAAGCACACAAAGCCATCTTTACTCTGTTCTTTACAATAAAAAGGTTTTATCTGCAAAGCTATTATCAAACCATCAGCATCAATATTTAAAATAATCAAATAACTCTTGGAAAGGCCAAATGCTCAGACAAGTGAAAAACGGACAGATGAAAGCTCAAGGAAGCTTGATATATATATTGCATCCATAAAGGGACTGGAACATGTCCTTCACATGTTCTACCCTGTTTAGTTGTGAATTTTTGCCTAGATCTTCCAGGTAATTGCATAAACTATATCTTCACCTATTCCCAGTCACCAGTAGAATATCCACTGTGGATTCTACCTGGCTAATCTTAGGGGCCCTGAACTCAGAGTATTATAAAGCAATTTGGTTGTTCACATGAAATGAACACAATGACTTTGGTTCAATACACACATCCTCCTACTACTCAACGGCCACAGCGCAGCATTAACCACACTGAAAATGCCAACTTTCTCACCTACAGGGTGAGCACAACATGTCGCTTTACGTGGTAAAGGAGTTTAATGAAAAAATCATACTGGTTCATTAGACCACACAGAGAAGTGGAAAGCAGCTGTCTCTGCTAGAGGCATATTAATGAAAGACAACATTTAGGTGACTGAACTACAGCAGAGCATCTGCCCTGCAGTCTGATTTCACTGCTGTCATATTACTATTTCTGGTACATATTTATCCTATAATGTCATCCCTTACTGCAGCTTTCATCACTAAAAATGACATTCCCCTTTCTCTCCCAGTACCCCATCTCACAAAAAACCCACCCCAATACATTCATTACCTAGTGAAACTTATACAGACAGATTAGAAGTGTTGACTGGAGTGGAAGGGTACAGGTGTATGTTTTTAAACAGCGACATTGCTTTGTGGTTGTGCCACTTTCCCTTCCCTGACATAGAGCACAGGTTTTACAGAATGCTGATACTTCAGGCAACATGCATGTGCAAACCAGATGACTCTAGTTCACAGACTATCCAAAATTAATTTTAGAAAGCACATCTCAACATTTAAGTTTCAAATATTTCCCTATATTCACCTTTCTCAGTGAAATCAAGAGCTCTACCTAACAAAAAACGACCTCATCACCTACCAGGAGATTGTTTACAATGCGACAAAACTAAACATTTTTGTATGAAGTACTCACAGCTGTTGCCTCAACTCAGGCGTGTCTTGTGGTGTTCCAAGCTGATGTAGTATTCTTTGTATTTCAGCAGCTGTTTGAGAAGAAGAAGAGAAATTTTAATGGGGCAAAGACAATTCCTGCATAGTTTTATGCATTTTTGCTTGATAATTCTAAAGCAATATAAGCTGACAGAAACTGAAACTCAAGACTTTTTCAACCTCCTACAAAGACTCCACTCTTAAGTCCCAGAACAACTACTGAATGGTTTTTGCCAAGGACAAAGCCCAGGGTTTCTTACAAAGGATGGGAGTGTATACAATCTTTAGGTAGAAACAGGCAATTTAAAGATTAGTTAATAGTTTCATTATAATAAGTCTAAATCAGGACTTCTAATATTTTGATAGTCTTATGTTTTTAAATGTGGGATAAAAACTGCCAGTCATTATTAAATGTATTTCATAAAATATATTAGTTTTGAACTGCAAAAAGTGATACATCATCCGAGCCTTATTTTCAGCCTAATACATATTACTGTCACATGAGAAAGCAAGGAGAAAAACACACAGAAACTTCAAGGATATGTAGTTTTTCACACTGCAAGACTTATATCCTCAAGATGCTCTATCTCAGCTTAACATCCTCATGTTCTGAAACAAAAGAATACATACCCAGAATAATTTATTTTGCTTGACCCTCAGCTAGGTGTAGACTTGTCTTCCCTGTATTTCTGTGGCCCTCCCCAGGCAGACTGGTGTACTGCATAGTCAGTAAAAAATATGTTGGTATCATACTATGTGGGATTCTCACTTTACTAGCACACTATCTTTTTTTTTTATTCCGAAACACAGTTAAAAATGCAGTAAGTGACAACTCTATGTAATGAAGAAAACCATACAAAAAAAAAAAGAGTACTTCTCCATATGCCATTGAGAGACCACTAAGAGACAGAACTTCATATAAAAGAAGAAAATAACCTATGACTTATGTTAACCAGTTAGACAAAACTGGAATTCCTTAAAGCAGTTTTAGTAATAACATTAATTCTAATCTTTGTTTCATAACAAATCTCCAGTGAATTAGTGATACTGGATTTTCTACACTGCTTTACATATCGTCCAGTGCCAATAACTGCTACAGCCAATTCTTTCTGTGCACACCCATGTAATGAAAATATCAAAACAGGGGAAAGTTAGTACCTAGTTTTGCATGAGGTAAAAAAATAAAATACTTCAAGGCAGATGTTTGAGGAGGACAAATTACTTATGGAATTTCCGAGGGAGAATAGCACTGTAAGATGGGTTTCATCATGGGTTTCAGCTTGTATTTAATTGAGCTGAAAAGCAGCAATACCGAAGTGAAAATTTTTGAATTTTGCCTACAGTTTTGACTACCAGCCACTGAGAGCCAGCCCTTTCCTGTCCAGTGGGGCCTCCTGAGTGCTGGGCTGAGGCACTGTCCAGCTGCCCATACTTCTCCTGGGCACCTGCAGCTGGTCACACGTACTGATAAACACAGGCTCACGTCAATTAAGCTTCTTTTTTGTGGTCACGGTAATGCATTATTTAAAACAAACAAACAAAAGGATAACTGGCTGGTGTTATCTTCAATAGCATAGAGTTTTAATATCTATAAAAATGAACATTAGCTATCCTTTATTTGTTCCAAGGCACTCTCCCTTCTTATTCAAGAGCCAAGGAGCTCAGTGATTCCGTATGTACTTTTAAAAGGGAGAGTAAAAGGAAAACCAAAACAGAGGCAGAAAAAGTTCCGGTGTGTCCTACCGCCACCTAGAGGTGCGTTATTTAACCGCAAGTACAGAAAATGCAGGTTTGTGTTTTAAATAAAAATTCCCTGAAACAAGGCCTGTACTTAAAATATTTGCATTCCAAGTTAATTACATATTTATCCTACTTCTAAAGCTGAACACTAGTAGATAATTGAGGGAAAATTAAAAGCCAGCACTGCGTAACTGGTCAGCTATACAATTCCATATGCAGAGGGAAGTTCATCCCAGCGCAAGTCTTACAATTCAGGAATTCAGCATAAAATTAAAACACATTTTACCAGAAAGTCTGTAGCATGCATCAAAATAGCAAAGTGCTAATGGCCTTTCAAGTCATGAGGGAAAAAAATAAAATAAAGAAAAAACCCCCAAGGACTGAACCAACACCATTTTTCTGTGCTTCCTGTAATTTAGCATTTTCCACCTTAACCTTTCATAATCAGAATACTATTCAGAAAAAACCAGCATTTCTCATATCAACTTTTTTTCATATGAAGTATATTACATAGAAAAGTGAAACGTGGCTTATTCAAGTAAGCAAGCAAAAAAAAAAAGGCAGAGCATTAAAAGTAAATTTTGGCCAAAAGTCTATAGCAGTATTCCCAAAGCTGCTTCATAAAAAAGCCAAAAGCAAGTTGATAGGACCAGTATAACATGGGTAGTAGAGAAGGTGACCTTCCTGAAATCTTGATTTACAGTATATGCCTGCGGGTCGATGAGTTAAAGAGATCCATCCTTTGCACTCCTTCATGTTAATATAAACACACTGGAGTGTACAGAAACTAAAACATATATTTCTTTATAGTCTTATAATTCTTTTGGTTTGGATTGTTTACTGATTTCTTATTGTAGCTACTTCTCATTCAAATATTTGATATTATAATACACATATAATCACAAAACCACCTAAACTATAGACATATGTTCAGACTCATGCACTCATACAGCTTTATTGATAAAAGCAAAATTTAAAACAGGCTTTAAGACATTACCACCTGGATCACACAGAGAATGTGTCTTGTTCCTTCACATGTACACACAGTGATCTCACAGAATTTGATTCAAAGCAAGAACTACCTTTGAAACTTCTTAGATTAAGTTAGTATCCCTTCCTTTCCTCAAGGAAAAAGCAGGGCAGCCTTAGCTTCTCTTCCTAAAGGTTAGCAACCTCTGGTTACTCCTTCCACTGCCCCGCTTGTGAAATAAGCAGGGAGAATGTCTTGGCACTGAGGAGCAAAACTGCTGGAAGCCTGGGATTACTCTTCATAAAACAGAAGTCCCTAAAGTCCTGGCCTCACAGGTGATGGTGGTATTTATAAGGGTACTGCCCCGCTCATTTAACCAGTTTTTCAGCCCCGTGCAGGGAGTTCAGGCTGTCACATCAAGGTGCGTGGCGTCTGCTCTGGTACCTCTCAAATCATCAGTAACACTCAAATGTCTAGCTTACAAAGGCCTAGCTCTGCACTGTAAACGTACTGGTAACAGTCAGGGACCAAAGATCAGAGCACGGTTTTGACAGGTTCCTAGGTTACCTCACCCTTTATGGGTTTCCCTTCCCGAGTTCCCAATCCTTCAAACTTTCCAAGGAGTTCTGAAAGACAGGAGTAATCTGACTACCAGATGTCCCTCCTGTCCTGGACATTACCAATCCTGTAACAGAGACTGACTGGATCTTGTACATTATTTTAATTCATTTCAGTGCAAAGTCTGACACTTTGGCTCACTTTAGCACTTAGGTTCCTTGGATGTATACAGTTGGCTGCTGGACTTTGCTCAGGAGCTGCACAAGGGCATACACCACATGCATGCAGGCATTCTTCACCAAAGTCACCAGGACATGGGAACAGTTTGCATCAGAAGTGTGTGAACTCCTGAGACCACTTCACACTGAAGATCAGGGTACGCGTTTGCATATAATGAAAATCAACAGCTCTTTTAGGGCTCAGACTACAACCCTGCAGGAGCAGCATCTTGCCAGCTGTGGCTGGCAATAAACCACTGCAGAAAGAAAGTGCCCTTTGGGAACTGGGCAGCACAGAAAGCAGGGTAGACGACACCATGCAAGCAAAATGCATGTTTTTCCAAGCAATTGCTGTCTTGCATGCAAAAGAAAAGAATCTCTTTTTTCATCCCAAAATTAGTCTTGTCTTAGAAAGAAGAAATACTATATTAGTAAGAAGACTTTTCACTTGTCATTGCAGCATTCCTGATCTAGATCTCATAACACACAACTATTAGCTGATGAAAGCTACTCGGCTACTCTCAGGTTGGTCACATGCTCAGGAACAGGTCAGACATGGTTAATGATGAGCCAGAGAAACAATCAAGACCTAACCTGAATTCCTAAGGAGAAAATTATTCCAGAGTTAGCCTACGTTTACTTTTACTAAGCCAAACAGTGCTTCCATTTCTAGTTAGTGGAAGCTCTCCCTCTAGTTAAGGAGAAAAAAAAAAAAAGGCACAGAAAAGAAAAAGTAACAGTCTCTCAGATAAAAGGCTTCCTTTTCTCCACAAGAGTTACAGAAGTAGTCATAGTTACAAGGGAAATATTTACATTTTTTAACAGGTAGGAGTATTTGAGAAACATGTTCCTGACAGATCTGTAATACATATTTTTTTATAGATAAAACCATATTTGACATACTGTATCACACACTACCCTTGCTTAACAGCTGGCTAGGAAAGAAGAAAGTTTCATCTCCTTCCTCCTCATCTTGCCTTGTTTTTAAGCCAGCTCTGGAAAGCTGTTTCATTACCGCAAGTAAATCCCTGTTGACGTAACTGCTGATTCTGGTCCTTGAACATGAGAATGTTTAAGATCACACAGGAAGTTTTAAATTTAAAATAAAGACACAAATAATTTAATACAATGAAGACCAAAATATAAGTAACTTCTTGCCTCTAAGATCATAAATGCAAATAATGTTATCCCCATCTGAGAATAAGTAATCATTGTACAGGCTGTAACACCACAGCATTGCTACAGAAGAAAAGGTGAAAAAACCCCACCAAAATCCTTCAGTAAAATCCTAATATTTGAAAGGCAATGAACCAACTAAGAGGATGGAAACAAAGAGCAGACTGCAGGTCATCCACCTTCTCTGGCAGGGCTGAGAAGTGTCCAGCTGAACAAGTGAGTCAACAAATAGCACATCCAGTTATAGATTAAGTTGTATGGAATCTAATAAACTGCACAGTCTCTTCAGAGCAGGTTATTGGAACAAAAGAATTACTTGTTAAAATTACACCAGTTCAAGCTGCTTCTGCCTGGGGACAACAGACTTCCTCAATTTATTCAAATCCAATTC